AGCCTTCTTCTGGCAGAAGTATTTTTTAGTTATACTTCAAAATCCATGTTTAGCCCATAGGAATTAATTTTTAAACATCTCCAGGAATGCCAAGCAAAAGATGGGAGCAGCCAGTAAAAGATTTCAGTCTATCTTGACCTGGTTTCAGGTAGGAATTGACAGTTTACTGTTGAGAAACTCCATATTTCATCACTGCTTTTGCTTTTGCACCATCATGTGGTCTCCCTTAGCCTCCTTAATTAAAATGGGTGGCTGAGGATCAATTAGATTTTTTTTAAAAGGAAATAAATTACGTAAAATACTCACGAACACAGAAGGTAGAAAAAGGGACTATCCACCTAGAATCGTGTTCGCAACGAAGAAAAGATGGTAAACGTTTGCTATAACCTGGGCGACATGTGTACTCTACTCTGGTCCCAAAAGGAAAAGAAGTCGTATTAGTGTAGTCCTCTTTTGGCGTAGCGTAAGTCAGACGTGGTGGTGGGTCACAGGCACCTAGTGACAACAACAACAAAAAACACTGAAAAACTGGTAAGGTGAAAAACTACAGGAGCTGAGACTCCCTTGACTAAAATGTCAGGAAGGTCTTAAAACACTCGACCCCTGCTTCCTAACTGAACCCTGCTACTTCAATCTGCTGGTTTCTGATACAGACTGGGTTAAAAAAAAATCTCAAAAAAGCCAAACCTACATCGAATCAGTCTAAGTTTCCCTTCAAGTCAGGGAGATATTAGTGGAACAGCCTGTGGTGGGGGTTCAGAGCGCAGCAATGGTCTGTGCAGCTTGCCTGGAGAGGCCACAGCGCATCGGTATTTTCTCTCAGTCGTCACTGGCCATGGTTTCCCGGCCTCGGCCAGCCTCCAAATGCTGTAAGAAGGCAGCTAGGCTGAGGCTAGGCAGAGCTAAAGCTAACAGTACGTCTGTCCAGCTGACTGCAGACGGGGATGCAGCAGGTTACAACTTCCCTTTGTTCCAGCTGAGCAGAAAGAAGCGGCCCAGGGTGTTCAGAGGGAAAGCGCTAAAGTTAGGTCGAGAAAAGGCTTGTCCCATCTATTTAGCCTCTTCAACAGGAAAGAAAATGTTGTCGCTTCTCTCGTCAGCAATGATCGGCCAGTGGTAAGTACCTGCAAGTGCCCACACAAGCTCTGCGATCTCCCATGCAGCCTGGCAAAAACCTGAGCCTCGGTCCAAAACTGGAGGTTAGGTACATGCTTGACTTAACATATAAATGCTTCTCCATGCTCCTTGGTTTTCCCAAGCCAGTCTAGGGCTTCCAATCAACTCTTGCCTTTCACCTCAGGCAGTCACTCATACCAGCAAAGAGCGACTGCGAATGCCTGCACTCCTGAACTGGAAGCACTGCACACCCCGTGTGCGCTGCTACAAATGACTGGGGGTGAGGAGCACTGGAGAGCTGAGCCCCTGACGTCTTGGGATGACAAAGGCTCCCATGTGGATTCATAGACTATCAAAGACCCAGAAGCACAGGGGCAGCAAAGAAATGGGAAGTGTTCACAGGGGAGGTTTCATTCTTGTGGCGTGAACCTCAAGAAGCAGTTTTGTTCCACTGAGTCGACTCGGACGGATTTGCCTGGTTCTCGCATAGACTTACTCTGCACAGCAACAACAAGAGCAGCAGCACATAATAGTCGAAGGGCGGCCACATAACAGCTCTGGTCCCCAGGGCACAATGATGCCATCTTTCCTTTGGCTGGGCTCTCTTCTTCAAGACCTAGCAGGACTTACCACATGGTCCTTCCAGACTAAATAGCTGCAAAAGTGGCTGGGGGGAGAAAGAAAATAAAATTGGTTACATTTAAGGTAAACCCGTATTTAAGCTTTCAGGGTAGCTTTTGGCACTGTATTTTCACAATGGGGTCCTGGAGTCTGGCTGGGGCTCTTAACTACCGCAATATTAATGAAAAAGGGAGTTCAGCTCCTAAGCTGGTGTCAGCTGGTATAGGTCCAGCTAGGCCACACTGATTTACATCTGCTGGTGGTCCTGGAATTGGGAGGAAGGTTGAGAGCATCAGTGAAGTAAAAACAGATCCTTCTGATAGAGGAGGAAGGAAAAAACTGAGTCCAGTTCTGATAACTCCTACAAGTTGCATTCTGCCTCATTCCAATGCATTCTTTAGGGCTGTGGTCTTTCCTTATCATTCAAAATGAAAATCTCCAAGAACAAGAACACAGCAGAATTACTTAATTCCTGGATCTAACACCACTTGCCTCAAATGTCACATTTCCCTGGCACATTCATAAAGGAAAGGAAAATAGGGCTGGAAGGGACCTCAGGAGGCAGCCCCCATTCAGGACACACTCATCCCTTGCTTTCATCACCAAGATAAGTATTTCTCTAACTTCACTTCAGCTTCCAGCAACAGTGACACTTTACAGCCTCTCCAGGTAATCCCTTTCCAGGGCTTCACTACCTGCACAGGGCTTCACTACCTCCTAATAGCCACCCTAAATTATTCTGGCTGCAAATTTAAACCCATTACTTATTGTCCTTTTCCCTGTGAAAATGAGGGGCTCCATCCTCCTTATAACTTTTTGGTATTTGAAGACTATTATCAAGTCCCCCTGCCAGCTTTTTCTCCAGATGGAATAGTTCTTCCAACCTTTCTTTGTACGCCATGTGCCCTAGACCTTGTCATTTTTGTGCTGTCCT